AATAGGTTTTAATTATGTGGGTGTTAAAATGAAAGACTAAGCCAACAACCTCCAATTCGAAAGCAAGTTTCCATTGAGAACTTCAAGAACCACACGCATCCAGACATGTTTCAAATGCTGGCGCAGATTAGCTGAGCATGTGGATGTGAACACGGAAACTCCCATCTCGTCTTCAGAGGCGTAGAGCTCTGAATGCAGGACTCAGTCAGCGTTACAGGGACAGACAAAGGAGGTGGAGAATAGTAGGGGAGATTGTATCTCCCGAGCAGGGCCGACCTGAGCTGACCGCATTGGGCTATTCACACGGATGGCAGGCAGGAACAGTACAACGTGCGGTTTAAGGCCACACTTCTTGGGTCTGGTTCTCTTAGCAGTGAACTCAGGGCCCGGAGCATGGAGTGCCACCCTAGACATGCAGTCTCCTGTGGCCACACTGCCTCATGGCTCCCTGAATCCAGCAGGCACCTCCAGCCTCAGTTCCCTGGAATCCACTTGCAGGGTTAGTCGCAGGAGACTGAGGTAGCCAAGCACGTCCCCAGCCGTTTGCTCCTGCAGTGGAATTCAGAGCCCAAAGCCCAAAGCCCATGTTGTCCACACAGCGCTCCTCCCTTGTTCCAAGCGAGCCTCCGGCCCCACCTCGGTACCCAGGTATGCATGCACACAGGCAGCAGAGGGCAGGCACAAGACCTTCCAGAAGCCACCCTCGCACTAAGGAAGCCAGGACCCAGAGAAACAAAAGACAATCTGGGGTGGGGATGCAGCCAAGCAGGGGTTAGAGAAAGAAGAAGGAAACCATTAAAAACAAAAGCAAACCCCTACCACCCTGAGAGTTCTTCCCAGCTTGTAAGGCAAGTCAGCCAAGACATACCTTTGGGGTAGGCGACCAGGCAGCAGCTGCTTCTTGGGGCTGCCAAAGAGATGGCTGCTCTTCTCCGTCACCCCAAGGGCCTTGAGCAAGTGTTGCTTTGATTGACTTCAGGAGGTGCTACTGGAGACATAAAACAGAGTGCTGGCGGCACTATAAACACAGCAGAAGAAACACAGGAGACTGGATCATCCAACAGGTATTTATATATGGTTTTAGACAGGGGAGGGCAGGGGAAATATACTGTGAGGTATCTTTCTGTCTTCCATGAGTGTGGCCTCGGGGCGTTTTGTCACTGCCCGGTCCATGACATTCTGCTTCTAGTCCATTCCTGTATTTTGGAGCTCGCTCTTCACCAAGAAGAAAGGGAGGACAAAAGCAGCCACCACAAAAGAGCCGCTGTGCTGACAGAGGAGGAGCTGAGGAGGTGGCTGCTGGTCAGGAAGCTGGGCGCTGGCGCCCCAGACGTCTCTGGAGCTGTTGACATTCTCAAAAGCAGGGAGGAAGATGGAGAGGTCAGGAGAAAAAACGAGGAGGGGGGATCTGCTGTGGGGAGCCACCAGCTCCAATGGGGGACTGAGTGTGCAATCATCCTGAGACAATCCTCCCCACCCAGTGGCTGGCTTCTAGATAGCAATAGGACTTCACTGTCTTTCACTTCCTTTCTCTCTCTCTCCTTAAAAAAAAAAATCTTCCTAATCTAGCAAGAATGAATAAATAACACTTTTATGTTACTGGGTCTTGGTATCTAAATCCAATGTTCTTCCCTTCTTCAATTTGTCAATAAATAGGAAACCTGCGGACATCAACTCTGCTCGTGTCCAGAAATGTCCCCAGCCCCGCCCTGCCGCCCTGCCAGAGATCACCTGTCTGACTCCCCATTCCTATAGAAAACACACGGGACTTGGTGATCCCAGGTCTCTAGGAAGGCCTCCCATTCTGCATTGTGTTTCATTTTCTCTCAGTAGTTTGTGCTTCTGGTGGGTGTACCCAAAAGGGCGGGGCAGAGGGAGGGAGGAAGGGGCGCAGAGAGGATGAAAGGAAGCAGTCAGGACAAAGGAATAACCTAAAGTTTTCTTTCATTAAAAAAAAAAAAAAAAGATCTATCAGAACCAGAACAATGACCACAGTCGGAGGTGGTGGCGGGCAGCCCAGAGTCTGATTCGTGGGTTTAGCAACTGCCCTTTTTATCTGCTGTGGGCGAGCCCCTGCCACTGCGACGTCCCCGGCAGGAGCGAGACTCTTCCAAATCGTCCTCATCAAAGCCGTGGAAAGTTGAGGTGTCACTTTCTGACGTGGAACCGAATAAGTCCTCCGTGGTGCGTGCTGCGGCCGCGGCCTCCTTCTCCTTCCTGCCTTCTCCTCCCAAATGAGCTGACATGTATGATGAATATATCAGCACATGGGTTAAGCAACAGACATCATTATTAATATGCATATTACACTATCACAATGTTAATTCTTAATAGCAAAACAGAAAACCGGTCCACACCAAAAATGATTAGCCAGGTATGTCAAAGCCTGGTGACAGGGATTTGGGATTACGGGGCAAAGCAAACATTCCTAGGGAAGACAGCCTCCCACCCCCACCACCCAACCCATGCCCGAGGAGAAGGCCCCGTTCTCAGCCGTGATGCCTACGTGCACAGCGTGTGACCCTGACAGCATCAGCCACGGTCCTCCGTCCCCTCCACAGCACACTCGCTCCGCCCCGCCCCAGACCGTGATGTTCATGGCAGTTTTGCGGCCTGGTTGGTATTTCTGGGGTATTTGCAGTGCGTGTTTTCTTGAACAACGCTTGTCTCTCACTTTGACAGTCCGCTTGGAGAAGGTTTTGCTGTCAGGTAACCCATTCAAAGTGGCTCAGCCTCCAGCCAGCTTCTAATCCCCTCCGTTCAATGCTCTTTCAGGCCTGCCCTTACGCCTTCGAGTTCATTTGCACTCAAAGCCCAAAGAAGTTGCAAAGTCTGATAACTGATAAGGAGTAAGAGTCTCTCCTTTTTTTAACCACTGGGAGGAGTTTCTGTGATTGACACAAACATACACATACACACAGGTGTGTACACACACACACACACACACACACAAATATTAGCCACTAGACATGCCCAGGTCTTGACTGCTTAGCTACTTAATTCAGAGTTGTCAAATCTAACTCAAAGTATTATAAAGGTGAAAACGGGAGTTTAAAAAACAGGCAATAAAATACAGTATCCTGAAATGCAACTTGTTCACATTCTAAATGGGCCCCCAAATAAGGTACCAACATGCTGTGTAGTTTGCCAGTTCTGAGACCCGCCTTCTCTGCCAGCAAGCAGAAGTGCTGGGGCAGATGGGAAGGGCGTGGCAGACCTTCGGGGCTCCCCTGTGAGGACCCCAGGGAGGCCCGACTGAAGTATTTGCCCACCTGCCTTCACAAACAAATCCCAGGGGCTAACGCCACCTGCTTCTCCCCAAGTATCAACTATTTCAGGAACATCGGAGTTAGGCCCTGACTAAATGATCTACCCAAATTCATCAATCCTCAGCCAACGGGACGAGAATACCTAGACGCTATAAAACAGCCCTGAATCACACAGCAGACAGACCTGGGAGGAGAAAGCTGAGTGAAGGCTGCAGAGAGATGGGCGCTGGACAAACTTAACTGCCAACGCCTGGTCCCCCATGGATCAAACGGGAGGATTCTAGTTTCTATACAAAAGGGCGGGGAGTAAATACAGCCATTTTCCAGGAGCCTTCTGTAGCCTCCCTCTCTAGCCCACCCTAATCCTAGAGCGAGCGGTCTAATATTCTACTGAGACCCATTCTCTGCCAAGTGACCTTGCTTCCAGCGGCAGAGATTCTGCCTGGTTGCTGGCTTTTTACAGACGGTAATTCATTTGTTTCATTTTCCTTTGGAATGAGCTAAAGACCAGAGTCCACTAATACATAGGCCCGTGCTTTCTAAGCTACCCCGGGAGAGTGAAGAGTTCAGCGTACGAGCTACTGTATCTGCAAGTAAGTGAACTGTCAACAATGTACAAGCCAGCCACCCTGTCAGGAGTGAAACGTCAGGGGTTGTAAGCAACAGAAACCAGAGTCGTTTTCTAATGACGGATGTTCCAACCAAGTCAGTCTTGAGTCCTCAGTAACCCCAACGTGAAGGCTGCCGTCAGGGAAGCACTGAAGACCAGCCCTCTCCGGCCTCCCTGGTGGACTGCAAGTCATCCAGACGGGTAGAAAGGCAGACAGAGCAGCGACTCTCATCGCTGGCACCGAGCACCCCATTGAACTGCATTTCACCCCCAAGCCAGCAGTTGAGAAGAACAGAGACAAGCTTGGACTCCTCTCTTCCTCCTGCCTGGCATTCTGGCCTAGTTATGTCATGAAAGTACTGGAAAGGTACGTAGAACCAACAACCAACCAGGATCAGCCAAAACCCAATGGTTTGGTTGGAAGCGAAAAGCGAAACAACAATTTTTACAGAACTGGAAGACCTGAACACCGGTTAAGAATGAAGGCACGTGACCAAAACCTCTCCCGCTCCCCCCCCCCCCCTTTCTCTTTCATCCTCAGGTAAGATTAAATGGTGAAAAACACAGTCGGTCAAGTGAACTCCGGAGTCACCCTGCGAATTTATCCTGGATCTACCAGGGTGTCTTTTCCATATGAGGACATGGGATGAGTGGCCAATGGTGGTGGTGTTGATGAAGCTATCCAGGAACCGAGGTCAGGCTGTTCTGCCAAGATCTATGTTCCCATCCTCCTCCAGTTGGTCCCCGGGCACTCCCACAGGACAACCACAGCTTTGGTTGCATTCACATCACCAGATACAGGAAAGCAGGTTGCCTGTGTCTCCAGCGCGTCCACTCTTATCTCACTGCTGTTTGCAATCGTACCCACAAAAGGAATCTCCACCGCATGGAAGGCCCGAAGCAAATCACATTTTTCTCCTTGCCCTTTCCCCTGGACATCCCATCAGATGCTTCAGACCCAAAGAAGAAAAAGATCAACATGCCCTAAAAGCCGCTTCCCTCCCTCCCCTCCCAATCATCATGCCCACCAGGCCTCCGCCCTGCGCCCCCCCCCCCCCCAAGGATGCAAGCCGCGCAGTCCCTTGTCCACGGGCACACGATGCATGGAGGGCCACACTCACCAGAGCGTCCGCAGTCTGCACAGGACACCAGCTCTTCAGGTGTCCCACGCTTCCTGTTCATGCTCGAGCCCCCCAAGCAGAAGTCACAGTAGTTATTGGGAATGACTGTCCCATCCGGTCCTTTCTGGGCTGGGGAAATAAGAAGAGAAAAATTCCAATCTTAGGCTGAGGTGGGTTTCAACTGCCTCAACCTCTCCTCCCACAGTGGTAGCATCTGCTTCAGAAAAAATGTGAAGTTTAGAACCTGAGGTTTTGTTACCAGGTGTTAAATGGGGCCGGTTGTTCTGTTTGATCCTTCTGGGGTCAACAGTGCTAATGCTTTTACAAGTCATCCTGGACTTAGTATAGTGTGTCAATACTCCCCCAGCCCTGTAGTTTTACAGCAACGCCCCTGCTCTCCTGATGAGCTAACTCCCTGGATGAGGAGATCCATCCAGAAGGTCTGCTAGGCAAATGGAACACCTCTCACTCTGAACAACACTAAGTGGCGACCGTAAACTTCAGTGGAGTGACTAAAGGGAGAGAGAAGAGTCAATACCTGGACCTGGACCTTGGGAAAGATGCTCTTGTTTAGGAGATATTCCTCCTGTCCCTGCAAAGGAAAACAAAGAAGCACCGATAGATGGTCAGTTCCATGAAGGAAAGTGGAGATGCTCTGAGGGCTCTCATGAGCCTCTCAGTGGAATCAGTGTCTGGTGTTATGCAGCCTCGCCTCCCCCAATGTCCCGGCACGTTGGTCATCGAAAGCACCTCTGACGTGTTCGTCTGCAGACCCCACGTGCCTGGAATGAGAACTGGGGTCCCCGTTTGCCAGATGGTTGGCTCAAGCCCTAGTCACAGGTGAGTTGAATGATGACTACACTAACCCATTTTCAGTCTTAAGACTTTCCCAAGTAATTGAACACACTACCCCACCCGTGCCCGGTACTGAAAGTCTTTTCTCTTTGAGTAAAAACAAAGAACATTCTTGAGACATAACCTTTTTAAAAAAGGTGTGCGAACAGCACCTGCCCTCAAGAAACTGAAATCCTCCTGCCAAGGGCTGGTTCCAGGCCGTGAACAGATTCTTTGTATGGAGAGAAACACCTCCATTATTCAGGGGTTCCCCCCCCTCCCCCCGCTATCCCTATTGTGAACATTTCTTTGTGAAACCACCCCAAAGGAATCATTAAGACTCTGTGTGTGCCTCAGAAGAAAAGTCTATCCGTTTATGGCATTAGCCTTAACCACCGGGGCATCTACCTCTTTGCCATGCCCGAATGCCTGCTATCTTTCATTATGCATGGACTGACATTAATCGGGGTCCCGTAGGGTACACATCTGTAAAAGGAAGCAGATATGTGAGCAGAAAGACCATCCAGACAGTAAGTGATAAATGGATTCACCCACTTTAATAGGATCCCCTCTGGCCTTTACTTCCTGCCTGCCTCTGCTTGGCCTCCAGGAATGGAAAAACTTACCTGGGGAAGGCGGAAGACAAAAGCGTGCTGAATTACATTATAGGGGGTTAATCCATTTATCAGTTTCTGTTTGGATTGTTTAATCAGTTTCGAAGTCATAGATTTTCATCTTCAGGGAAGCAGACAATTCTCTGCAAGAAGAGAAAACGTTTGCTCCGTGGGAAGAGATGGAGGAGGTAGCCACGCCCGGTGGTCTATTGAGCCTGGGTGTCTTCATCATTCACTACACTTCAGACATTCCTATGTCACACAGAATGGCTTCTCAAATAAATTCCGAGAACCAAGTGTAGTATGGCCCTTTTAGCTATCAGCTCTGTGACTCCTGCCAAATGACTCGGTAGGGTGATGGAAATGTGAGGTGGTTGTAGTCCCTGGTCCCCTAAAGGGATTGGGTAGCTTGCCAATCGTGTATAGAACGGTTATGGCACACACTTGTGGTATAAGGTACCCCAATACAGGGATTGGCCACTTTTGCCTCTCCCCTCCCCCACCCCACCCCCGTTTAAAGTGAGCCAAGCAGAGAGGGGGCTCGCACAACCATCAAGAAAGAAGAACAAGGAGTGGAGTATGCCCTTCTAACACTGAGATCCCTGCACTCACCCTCCTCATTGTAGAAGACAGAAAGCTGAGACTAGAGAAAGGGAGCAATGGAAGAGAGGTGGCAACAGATAACAGCAATGGAGACAGCAGAACAGAGAGGCCAACAGGAGACAGTGCAGGGGCAGTGGGCTTCCTGGACCACAGAGCAAGAACAGCTGAAGTCTTTGGCCTGGAGGGTTGGTGGCAGACACGGGTGCCTCAGGCATTATTTGGGGAGCTCGATTTGCCAGCCCATGGAGCTAGAGCGCCTTTGGACTGAGGCTTAGTGGTGGAGTGGAGGGCTTTCTGAAGTTATTGGCAGGGAAAAAAAGAGCTTTTTAACACTTGTCCAAATAAGGCAGAAGCCAAGAGACTGAGAGGCCCAGAACTAAAGGAAGTCTATCTCTGGGCATGGCTGAGGGGAGGCTGTCTTGATCGAAGAACTACACACTGGGTATTCTGATGATGAATTGTAGCCCTGTTAACGTCCTGGGTAAACTCCATAATAATAAGTATTGTCTGTGAGTTTTGTGTGATCAATGCAATGTATTAACAAACCCGGCGGAGAGTAGGGAGTACAGGAAAAAGACGGTTGGGGTGTCAGAATTATCAAAAAGGTTGGCAGGTGGAGGCATGTCTGACCTCGGTCTCATAGATATGGAGCTGGGGCAGCGGCTGTCATTGGTCTGGATGTGCCCTGGTGAGGTTACAGGAGGTCAGACATCCTCTTTTGCATCATGTCATCAGCAAACATTTTAGTTTGCCGATAAGACTTCTAGTGGTTGGGCCCAGAAGTAGTAAGTTCATTTCTTTCCCTTCAATTGCCAACTTAACTATTTGTACAATTTTCCTATGAAAACCCAAGCATGCCTGTGACTCAAACATGGAGGTCTGCCAAACGGTAAAAAAGAGAAAAGAGGTTTGAGTTGTTACGTGTCATCTTCCCGAGGACCCTCCACTTTACCAAGCATAGTACATTTCCCCAGGGCGCTGGCCCTCCTGTTAACATGTCCAAATTATTAAGGAGCATTCTGGCTGTACATATTTGTTCTTCTGGCATTCAACAGTACTTTCAATATTATTTTCCAACACCATCATTCAAATGTATCAATTACTCTCCAGTCTTTCTTATTCATGTTATTCATTGTCCAGTTTTCACGTCCCTGGGATGAATGAACATATCATGGCATAATAATAAAAGTAGCACAGCTTGTGTCAGGATTGCCTTAGTCCTCAAAGTGATAGATTTGCTCACTAATGTGAAGCAGATTTGATCAACAGAATACATCATTTGACTGGCTGTCACCACAACTGCCAATTGTGGACCCAAGTGAAAGACTGACGACTTCAACCGCTCCTCTGATTATCGCGGTGTTGTCTACTGATCTAGTTGTGAGGATTGTCCCTTTACATTGAGTCGTAGCCATGCCGTTCTCTTTGCTCTTCAGCCGCAAACAAGACTGTGGCATCTGCACACCAAGGGTTCTTAGTAAGCCCTCCGCCAAGCCTGACGCCGCCTTCTCCAGCTAGTCCAGCTTCTCTGATGGGTGCTCAGCGTGCATGCGAAGGGTGGTGAACGGGCACGATCCTGAAACCCAGCTCTCCTACCCAAATGCTGGCGGCTCCCTGTTTGCATACTGCTGTAACCACTTTGAAAATGATCTGCAACACAATTTAACTTGCGTGTGATACTCATGATGCTATTTGATACTTTCTATACTCTATTGGGTCCTCTTGCTTTGAGATGAACACGAATATGGATCTCTTTCAAGGAGGGTGGCCAGGTAACCGTCATCCAGATTTCTCAGGATAGGCAAGTGAATACTTCCAGTGTCCAATCTCTTGAAACATCTCAATTGGTATTCCATTAATTTCTGTAGCTTCATTTTCACCAGTGCTTTCAGTGCAGCCTGGGCATCTTCCTTCGATACTACCCATTCTTGCGTATATGCTACCCCTGAAATGGTCAAATACAGACCAACTATTTCGGTAGTGACTGTATAATCCTTCCATCTTCTTTTGATGCTTCTTACATCATTCAATATGTGCACAGAATTCTTCGGTGTTTTATCTTCAGTTCTTTTAGATTGAGAACTGCCAAGTCCGAAATCCCTTTGGGTTTGCTGAGCCAGGACGCTGCACACTTCATTGTTAACACTTTGTCTTTTGGAGTCACCCAATGACATCTTCTGCTTACACTTTCTTCCTGTGGCTTTAGCTACTCTACATTCAAGTGTTTCAGAGTCTCTTCTGGGGTGCATTTTGCTCTTTTCTTTATTTTGTTATTTTAATGACCTTTCCATTTCCCAGTTGAGGTAGTTAGTTTATTGTGCCAATCTGGCCGATAAACACATGTGGGATTAATTGAAGGGCAGAGGGATAAATGGCTCGGTGAGCCTCGCCTTTCTAGTTCTCGGGTTTCTTGCTTTGTGATGGTCACACTAGGGTGCAGCTGCCTTAGCAGTTCCCAGCTTCAGCTGGCAAGGCTCACTTCCTGCAAGACATCCCCAAGAAGCCGCATGGACCTACCCTGATGCAGCCCTGGGTGCTGGAGCAGCCATGTGGAGACCCCTGCCAGCGCTGAGATGCTTACGTGCTCACTGATTCGGCCTTCCTCCTGCAATCAGCATCATAGTGTATGTTTTGTGAGATGGGGGAGGATTTTGTGGATTGGTGTTGGACATATGGGTTAATGTTGGCAAATATATTCTCCATCTCAGTAATAGAAAGAGATGGGGTATATTAAGTTTAGGGGTAAAGGGTAAATCAGAGTTAAGTTCTGTGACTGATTTGAATTGGATATCAACTGGGGAAAGGCAAACCACAATGTAGACAGCTCCTGCATGAAAGGTAACCAATCTCATGTACATAACCCCACTAAAATTCCCAGGAAGTCTAGTCTCATCATCTCTCACCTGTCCCTTACAGATATTCCATGTACCTGACTTCCTCTCCATTCAGAAAAGCTGATTCAAAATCAAACAAAGACTTTCTCTAACACACTATATCCCTTGTGTTATAGATTTGTGTTCCCCAGAAATAAATGTCAACTAGTCTAAGGCAAGACTCTCAGCATTGTCGACTTAGTCTCCATTTTGTGAGGAAACTGGCCAAGTCTTTTTGCTCATGGGACTACTGGTGGATTGGAACAGCTCCTCTTTCAATGGACACTGCGCCACCTGCCCTAGCTTCCCGACTCAATTGCTCACTCCTGCAGGTTGGGGGCACATCATAATTCACTGCTAAAATACTGATGCGCTGTCCACCCAGAGGCTGGTTAATGATTAGTGGAGCTAATGGCTTAGCTCCGGCAGCAGCAGTGTAAATAAGCTGACACCGTGATGCTCCTGCACTGGGAAGGCACTGCTGCGGGTGCCCTGTGGCAACGCCATCCATTGTTCTGAACACCCCTGACTGCTCATTTTCCTAGTCCTCAGCAAACAGGGCTGGCCAGTCACCTGGCCTCATGTGATGTCCGGCTCTTGGGACTGGGTGGCGGGCAGCTCTAGGCGGCTGGAAGAATAATACTGTAGATGAGACCATTCTATGTGTG